CTATTTTTCTAAATACCTGTCTCTTCTTCCTGTCCTTCTTCAGAGCAGGGAGCATGTTCTGCAAGATCTCATTGACTCTGAGTGGCATGTTTTCAGAGACAAAGTACATTGTCTCCAGGGCAGTGTCGGGGAAGAATCCATTCTTTCCAAACAGAGCTTCCACAGTTGGCTCAAATCCATTGCCCTCCATACCAACCTGTTAGGGTGAAGAACATTATGACATGACACACTTACAGACCTCAGAACATTTTGTTCCGAGTTTATGGAAAAACACAGCTCAAAAGGTTTACCTCCATCATGTCGATGTCATAGCCGAATGCCTTCAGAGTCATTTCAAGCATGACCTCCTTGGGTAAGTAGCTGCTACCCTCAAAGAACATGTTGCCTTCCACAGATCCAATCTTGTAGTTGCGAGAGAACTTGGTGGGGTCCATAGGAGCCCCGACCTCATTGCCCTGAAGTGCATCAAGGATCTTCTGTCTCAGTCTGAAGGACAGAAAACAAATATTATAGTTAAATATCTGATTATGATAAAAAGAGGAAATGTACTAACCATGTTGTACAACAACAAATGTATGACATTTGAATATAAATCTGAAACTGCTTTTCACTTACTCTTGGGTTGCTGGCTCAGTTGAGGACAAAATGTTGGTAATATGGGAGATCACAAAGCTCTTGACTTGTTGGTCCTGCTCAATGGGCAGGGCATCAGCCAGCTGGGCCAGTTCAGTGGGCTGGGGGTCTTTCATCAGTACCAGATATGCAGCAACACGCTTTTGCATTGGGCTTGCGCCGTCCAAAAGCACTTGCATGAGAATCTCTCTGCCCTGTGAAAGATAGACATCAATATAATTAGTAAAAGGTAGAAATAACTTTTTAGACGTTTTGTCAAACCGTTGAATGAATTTGACTTGCCTCCTCTGGGACGGGAGTCAGTCTGAAGGCCTGGATGGCAGCCTGCTGCACAGCCAGGGAAGCAGCAGGTTGGTTCACACACTGGATCACAGCAGATCTGAGTGCAGGACCAGCAGCTCCCATAGCTGCTGCCATGTTTCCAATAACCTGAAATCAAAGGACATATTAGTTTTGTGCTCATTGGTGTTTTATGTTATTTTACTTTTTATTTGTAGCAAATGTTACCCACTCTCAATGTCATGAAAGTGTTATCCTTGTCACCAGAACAGTCACCCAACTGGGAACCCATGAACTCGGCAACAGCGAAAATCTCAGGGATCAGTTTGCCTTCAGCTTTGTAAAACCTGGTCAAAAACAAAATACATCATATTATAATTCAAAGCTTGCTTCTCCTAATAATCAAAAGAGGGAACATGTTTGCTGAAACATTATTCAGTGATTGAATACAGAATAAAGGGGGGTTAACTTCACTCACCTCTTTACAACATTGCTCAGGGCGTACATGATGGGCTTGCTGGGCTTGTATTTGGCCATCTCGAGCATGTCATTGATCAGGAGGGCAGAGGGATTGGACACCAGTCCCATAGCAAAAACACCGGAATCAACCTTGAGTGAGGAGGTGTCAAAGGTCCTGAAGATCTGCATGATGGCACTGCTGCACTCAGGGGTTCCACACTGGACCAAAACCTGGTAGGTCAGGGCACTGGACACTTCAAGAGCCTCTGGAATGGCGGGACTCAGGGTCTCGGTCTTCATTCCACGGACCATACTGACAAGCACGTGGAAGAGGTGGGCCCTCTTTTCACCTTCAGTCTCGGGCAGAGAGGCCAGTTCTCTCAGGAGGTTCAGACCTGCATCTTTATCCTGGATAGCACTCTTGTCCTCGACAGCGTCCATGTGAAGACCTTTCACAATACCACCTGTGAAACAATAACAACATAGTTATAATGTTACCGTTAGCTTCTTTGAAAGCTTTTTTGAATCAATCAAATGTATTTGGAAAGAATACACATTTAAACAAAGGACTTACTGTGGTCAAATACTCTTTCATTGCTAGGAGAGACCTGAACCAGAGTCAGTTCTTGCTTTCCAACGTTGGTAATTCCATGTTCTCCACTGGTGAAAGAAAATCACATGCTTAACAATACTGTTGACCTCTTGTACAAGACATATCAGTATGTCACTTATATGACAAAACACTTTTAAGAGTCTAATATGAGGTTAAACTTACTTGTGAGAGAAGGGAATGAGGATGTGGTTTTCAATGCATGAGCCAGAGGTCATGTGTTTGTTCTCATTGTCAAACTTGTAGTTGCAGGCCTGTGAGCTTCTGACCAGCTGGGCAAGAGGATAGTGCTGAAAAAAAAATCATATTAATGCAGTGAATTAATCAAAGTTAAGTTGAATAGTATCCTCCCACATACCACTTCAATTAAATATACTTAATTCATGAATTTAATTGATTATCTGAAAGGTTCATGTTGCTACCTCAGCTAATTGGATATCTTACCATGCCAGAGATAAGTGCCAGTGGGCTGGTGTGGTCTCTCAGTGGGACAAATTTGTCACATCTGGACAGGTCCCTGTTGAGGCTGATGTCAGTTGCGATGTCCTCTCTTGCGTTGACTGTGGATTGGGTCTTGCACTTGCCATGGATGGTGGGCTGAAATAGATGATTAGAGAATTGTTGTATGTACTACAGGCGGTTTTTTGTATAGTAAATACAAACATGATATACTTTTGAAGTATACTAAAATATGCAAAATTCAAAGCTTTCTTTCATGAATGTACCATATTTTTGTTCTTGTCTTCTTCCAGCAGAGGCACAGCCAGGGCGGAAATTATTCCCCTTTTGATGTTCAGGATAGTAATTGTCTCCCCTTCCTCGGGGTACAGTTTGACATCGTAAACTCCCTCAACCACAACCTTCAGAGGATACCTAAAACAAAATACATGATATTAAGATTAATAACCCTTGAATAAGCTGAATTGTGATTAATGTTTGAATGAAAATAATCTTTGATAGGGATTTTCATGAAGTGACATACTTCTCCATTTCAGCAGCAAAGGCATCAGAAGTGGCTGCAGGAGCGAACACAGGGTTGCCCTCTGTGTCCATATCGACCACCTCACTCAGGCTACAGCCAGTGGTGCGGACGATGTAACTGCAAGACTGGGGTACTTCAACTGATACCTGTGGAAAAATTGTATACGTTTATTTTTATCTCACCCTCTGAGAAATGTATAGAAAGACAATAATCGGATGACTAAACAGATGATTGTGAAAAGATGTTTCTCGTACCGTGCATGAGCCCTTAGGTCCATTCCTGAGCTGTGAGGCTCCGTTGATGGCATTCAAAGATTCAGCTTCATATCGGTATTCATACGTGTGGAGGGTCTTGTACCTTTGGGCCACTACAAGAGAAGACAATTTTAGGAATTGATTTTGTAAGCAAAAGCCATCTTATTGCTTCCATAAAACTACTATTAATTTGTGGACTGGATGTATTCGAGTCAAGGAAACGTCTGGTGCAACTTACATAGGCAGGTAGGTTGGTCTTCTTCTTGGGCAACTATTAAGAAAAAAGTCAGATTGTTTATAGTTTAGAAATTCAAATGCAATTACAAATAATCAGATTGATTTGAACATAAAAACATTACATAGTAGAAACTACATAAATCCATAGTTAGTCTTCCATACTTATGTGAACAGTGTTCACTTTTTTAAAGATAATCATTTTTAAAGTGTATTATAACATGCTTTAAACTATTCCAGTGGTGAAATAATTCATCACATTACACATTACAAGTTCCGCTCAGACTGAAAGAAAATATTCTTCCTCCTCTCCCAAGATTGGCAGAGGTCAGAGGTAATTTTCCTAAAAGTAACCCCCTTTACAAGAGAGTAAAACAGTAGAACTAATTCTCTAACTCGCCCAACAACAATATGTTTTTAGTAAAAGACACTTTCAGAAGTCTATTCCAAAACCAAAGCATTTAACATTTACCATGTATACTGTTGGATATTTATACTGATTAGCATATTCAAGCACAATTGAATGACAGTTAAAAGCTACAAGATTCTCTACAGTGATTTTTCTCTAAAATGTACTGCTTTATTTGCCTGTGATTTACTACTAATCTCCATTTCCACCAACCTTAAGCAATAATGTTCAGCATAATCTGCAGACTGTACTGTTCAGTAAATCAACAACACATTAAACAGCCTTGGCTAAAGTAACCATTTTTTCAGTTTACAATAATCTATTAAGATTTTTGACCAATTTTTATAGAAAATGTGTTTACAAAAATGTATTACCATTATTCACCAGGGATAACTGAAGTGAAGTTATCACATTTTTGTGTGCTTAAAGGCATTCTACTTTTGAGCATGCAGCTTTTGCATCTATCGAAAGCTGTATTCTCACATAGTTTTAACAGTCCTGTCTCAATTATTTCTGTTAGGATTATTATCCACATGCACTTATACTAAGTAATTTTCGAAGATATATACAAAGTTTGAGTGTTTTCCAAGAAGTACTTACAAGCCAAGGCAGCTGTGCTGAGGATCAGCAATAGGCAGAGCTTTGTATCCCCCATGATGGGTTCGGTGAAGCCCTCTCCCTTAGTTAGAGCGAGTACTCGGTCGAGACTGATTCTTCTGCTCGAGCTTGGGACTTTTATACCTCAGCTGGGGTCTGTCAGGAGACTGGGAGAGACAGATAGTGCTTTGAATGCTCAAAGTCCACCCAACCCTCCTGTGTGGAGGGACAAAGGCAAAAGTTGAAAAGATACCCATTGCTCAAAGCACTCAATTTAGTTTAATCTTAAAAACTTGTTCTTGTAAGAGCATTAAAAATGCATTTTTCTGATATATTAAAATGCGCAAAGGACTAGATTAAATATTTGTATTGATAAAGCACATTAAGCGTAGCCTTAAAAAAAATACTAATTAATTTTAAAAAACTTCACTATATGAAATGTAAATGAGCTATCCATGAAAATGAGTTGTGTCACAATGATTACAGTTCTCAGTCACCTCTAAGCCCATTTCCTTGTCCACTTGTCGATAAAAGCAAGACTTGCAGTAGGTTTAGTTATTATATATACATTATTTTAATTGTATTATGTACTGTTATCCATTGTGCAGATTCTAATGGCAAAGGGTTAGACCTTTAAAATCTGGGTCACATATATTTGTATTTTGGCGTTGTAGTTAGAATTTAGGTTTCAAAGGTTTCTCATCAGGCCGAAGTTGATATTCTTGAACTTCTGCTGCAAAAATACAAAGGCACTCATTGAAGATAACTAGCACCTCCAGTGTTAATTAGATCACTGATAAACAGTTATTGATGAGCACTGAGTGATCATGGCGTGCTGCAAAAAACAAAGTCCCACTTGATCTGGAAGAGAGGATTAACTTGTCAGTTGATTTGATGATATTAGTCAAATATATTACCTGAAATCTGCATTTTCTATGTTATGCAAATGTTCAATAACTCCTTTAATGTTGGTTTTATTATTGTATTTACTGGTTTATTAAACAGTGCACAATAATACACTTTACTGTTTATGCACCAGAGTTATGCTGCATTTTTATAAAATACTACACTTTAGGACTATACTTAATGTTTTAAATTAGATTGTGGCTAAACTTTACATTTAAATATAATGATAATGATCACATACTTACAGTAACATACCTTGTAAAAGAGTTAGTAAAAGAGTTAGATGCTTGTTGTTCTGCTTCCACTGCCATAAGCCAAAATGAAAACAGTGAAAACATTTGCCACACTAATACAGGTAAGATAATGAACTTTGATCTACAAATATTCAAAGTTTTATTTGTTGTTTAGGAGGGACTGCAGTCTAGTTCATGGCAGGTAAAGCACGTGCAGTACATTTAAAAAAAAAGCAATAACCTTGGGTTTGTTAAAGTCTTTTATTTGTGTTATTTAAATGTAAGTATTTGTCATTCTTGTGTGTACATATGCAAAAGAGGTGATGTAGTTTATATATATTGATTTTACTTTTGCACATCAATCATATAACTGCACATGAATGTTGTGCAAGGGTCTGTTGCAATACATCCCCATCAGGAGCTTTTTAAAGTTTGTCAACTACTGACACTGTTTGCACTGGTAGACATGTACACAGATAGAGTCCAAAGGGGCCTTAGCTTCTTTGGACACTTTGCTGATGCTTTAATTCATCATGTCAGATTATGGTATTAATGTACATTTATATTATATTTTAAAACATTTTATTCTTCTGAAAGACAATTTCAGAAGTTTGAAATGAATGCCACCTCACCTCAGTTGAGTAACACGTCTCCGAGATCTCAGAGGGTCTAATGTTAGAGGACAGTTTGAGGAAAGGCTAAAACTATAAATATACACTTGTATTTGAATCATAAAACACATGCTGTATAAAAAAAGTTATGATGTATGAAATATTTTTATTATAAAATCAGTGTTCATCCCTTACAACCTAAGTTCACTAAGTGTGCAATGTTAGCTTTTACAAAGAAAAATATATATTGTGCAATCTTTTGCAGCCATCAACCTATTAAGTCAGACAATGGCTGCAGATGAAAAAAAATGTTTTTAAGAAAAGTGAAAAATTGGCACATAACCCTGTTGTCCTCCTGATGAGGCCCATGGAAGTCATTATAAAATCTGCAACCCTTGTCACAGGAGACAGACATGTTCTGTCCCCCAGCATGGCAACTGTAGGCACTCTTACCTAATCAATCGTTGGGCATAAAGGTCGACTGTTTGATCGCCTGATTATATTTTCTAAGCTATGTTCGACTTTTATCATTTATTTAGTTCCCATTTCGGCTGAAAAGGTCCAGATAGCTTTCTCATGATAAATTATCAATATAACTTCAAAACATGACAATTTGAAAGAGACACATCAATGCAGATATGATCCGCTATATGCTTTGCTTTGTGTTATCAGTGGTTATCTATGGTCTTCTTAATCACATTTCCCAACCCCTCACTATGGATCGTTGTGCTAAAACGCAAAATCTGTAAACACCATATTTTTCATCACATAGGCTTTGAGTGCCAATTCTTTTAAAAACAAGATTGTAAAAATGATTCAGGTCAGCAAAAGGTCACACATTCACTACTTAATTTTGCAAACTTAAAAATAGTCAAATGTTGCAAAATGTATGGGGCAACCATCGCCATGGTGACAATGATGTAAACAGGTAATCCATGAGGAATGTGTTTAAATATTTCACTGAAAAAGTAAAGAGGATAGACAAACATTCACTACAGTCTGAAGGGTACATCCTCTGGGGACCTTGAATTTGTGTTTCATGGTAATCCATCCATTAGTTAGTGGAATGTAACTAAGTACATTTACCCAAGTACTCTACTTAAATATAGTTTGGGGGACTTGTACTTTACATGAGTATTTCCACATGCTTCTTTATAGTCCACTACATCTCCAAGGGAAATATCTTAAAGAGTTACTAGTATAGGTACTTTTTACATATAACGTTTATGTGATATATATTTTACTAATCTACTCAGCAGAATACAATGTATCCACCATTTGCCCAAAATAACAACTTACAGCATTATACAACTCTAATATGTATTATCTAATAATAAAACATAATAATAACATATTGTAAATGATACAAAACCTTTAGAAAAGCCATCCTGCACAATTTGTACTTGAGTACACTTAGAACTTATGTAGTTTTACTCTCATTTAAAATCTAGGAAACTAATTGTTTCAAAATAACTCCTGCAGCAGGAACTGTGTAATACAGTTTGCAATATATTCAACTACAGTTTAATGACCTAATGTATTAGTCAATCAGTTTGATCAACAGTGGCTGAAAGTCCAGACACAATGAAGTCATGCACAGGGTATCGCTGTGTCATAAACCACCATGCCTGCTCAAAGTGACATTGTTCTTCAGCTTTATCTGGAGCTGATAGATAGCATGTTAGACCAAACCCAATAAAACTTCACTGATAGAAACATGATATGAAGAGAGATCAAAGTTTATCACATAACAATCAGCATATGGAATACATGCATGCACACATACAGGAGAGAGTCACATGTGCATAAATCCCTAAAGCTTTGCATTATTTGCATAACATCTATTTATTATAAGAGTCTCAGGACCAAAGAATCAGAGAAAGACTACTTTATCTTTTCCAATTTGATTGACATTGAACCCCTCCATCTTTGTTAAAAGTATTTTGAGATGCAACCCTCAGTCATTTTTGGAACAGGAGTATTATTTGGAGAGTTAGTGCATAAGAGTTCTTTGTGCTGCCCATGTCATTCACTTCATCCCTTGGATTGAAAATGATATCTGTAAGGTAATTACAATACAAAGCACTGAGATACAATTATTTGTTCAGAAGAACTTAGAAGTGTTTCTTGCAATCACAGAATCTAACTATGTGAGCATAGACACAGGATTACACACTTAAACACACTTATTATTATTATCCTGGTTGAAAGTCCCTTCCCTATCATATGTGGGACACGCGCATTACTTCACGAGTAAGGAACATGCCATATACTGCCTAAAGAGAACATCATATACATGGCTCGATTCCAATAGACGTAAACACACACAGACCTACACATTGTCATTGGACTTTGATTGGGAAAATTGTGTTGGATTTAACCTTTGATCTACATGTACAGATCTGACTGATTGTATGCTGCCACAGTAACCATGTCATGTATGTACATATGAAAGGATAAAAGCATTGCTGATGGAATATACTGTACAGTACATCAGGCAGATGTATGGGTGTAATTGTTTGGTATGGTATTACGTTTTAGTAATGCTTGTGTAACACAGATAGACACAAACACTGGGCTTTCTACACACAAAACCTATAGCTTGTTCAGGAAGAGTAAACTATCACTGCAAAAAAAAAAAAAATTAAACCTCACAGAAATGGGGTTTCATACATCCTCTAACCACTAAATAATAAAACGAACATGCTAAAAGGTCGAATCCGGCAGATAAAAGGTTCATCTTGGTTTGTGCAAGCATGCTTATACTTGCTAACGATCACTTTCCATAGTCCTGCATTGATTATTGACTTGCTAGTTGTTATTACGCTTAAATACAGCCTATAAAACATGCATTATAGTGAAGGGGCATCTTCGTGATAGCTATATTCCAATATTTCCATACAAGAACAATTCCCTTTATAATGTCAGTGTGTTCAAGTCATGCAGTCGTTCAGTTATGTCTAAGAAAGTCTACTCAGCATGTCACTTTCAACATAGCTCAATAAAAAGTAGGGCAAATACGATAAGCAAGCTACAGGTTTACAGCACATTTAGCTTATCAGTATATCAGCATGTCTGCAGTCTTTATCATGTCCTCTGCTTTGTAGCACGTCCACAAAACCTGCATATGTATAGAAGTTTAAAATAAAGGCTTTTGAGATGTAGCTGCAGGAATAGAGTTGGATTATTCAAACATATTAATTTAAATGACTTGACTTTTAAGAAACATATTAAGAAAGTATCAAATATTATTAAATTCAACTTGCAACATTTTGAAACAAATTAGACCCTTCTTAACTGTCAATGCTGCAAAGTCATACCTCCACTGTATGATTCTATCCCACATTGAATACTGTTTGACAAACTGGTCGTTTGCTTGTGCCACAAACCTCAACCCTTGTGTGGTGTTAGGGTCAAATTGACCCGATTTTCATTTTCAATGAATAGAAAAAAATATAAGGATATTTTCGTTCAACCTGAAACTCAATGGCCGGGGCTTATTTATTGTGAAGGACATGTGGAATTGTTTTTATTTTTTTCCACTTTTTCCCACACGCATTTATGTCCTTCATAAGAGGTTCGGGTCAATCTGACCCGGATACAATACCAGGACAGACAGACAGAGAAAAACACACATGAACACACAAACTAAAGACACAACACCACACACACAAAACACAACGACACAAACACACACGCACCACACACGCACACGCACACGGACACACACACACACACACACAATTGGTATGCAGTAAGCTGTTTTTGATCCTGGTTTCCCTTATCTTACCCTTTGTAGTGGTGTGTCAGCCTAATGCAATGTTATGTATGTCCACAAAAACTATCCTAGTACATTATAAACATTTTTAGATCTTCCAGCAAATGTATAAACATTTTACTTTTTCGCACTGTTCCCCCTCGCACCTGCACGCCGGGAAGGGACTAAACAGGACATAACCTCCATTACAGCTGTCAGTTGCAGAATACAATTATTACAGCCAAAATGGCCCAAAAGATATTTTGCTCAGAGAGCCTTGGGGACGCTAATAATTGGATGAGGTGAGTAGAATGCATTAGAAGAACACGGTTGAAGGTGGAAAAACAGGAAGACTTTCTGAAGATGAGGATATGTTGGAGGGTATAAAACTTCAGAATTTGACCCAGGCAATTGGAAGGTATGACTTGACTTCAGGAGCCAGCTGCTGGGAAGGGACCCCACAGCCAGGGCCGCTCAGGACCCCCACGAAGCACAAGTGGAGAAGAGGTTGAAGAGACATACATTTGGTCCAAGAACCGGGCAGGATTGAATGGTGTTCATCCCCCAATAAGTGGAGCTCACTCGCTTGTCTGCAAATATAATTAAGATTGTACCCGGGCCGACACGAATGGCAAGTGACGCATGTCATGACATCAAAGTCATCATTCTGAGCTTTTGGATGCAGACTCAATATAAAAACATCATAATTGGAACATGACCAATCTTGGAGGGGAGGACGGCTTTCTTGGGAAGGAATGGGAAATGAGTTGGAATATTACACATGTGGAGCATGCATTACTTTGGCATCCTTATTCTTGGCAGGAGTGTATAGGTCAAGCAGGGAGGTCCACTGAGAGTTCTGCTGGGATGCTGAAACAGGGGAGAGGAACATTTTCGTGGGCACACATGTCTCCTGAGACTTTTCATATTTTTTCAAGGATTGTCAGGTTTGATTGACAGGGAGGGACCTGACTTGCTGACGGGGGGACAGTTGGCAGCAATCCGCACCAGTGTGGGACAAGTGGTGGCGGCTTTTTCCATCTTCTCTACCAACCCTTGGGCCAAAGCTTACTGTGGATGAACGGTTGTGGGGTTTAGAGACCGTGGCCCTTTCAGGGGCAGTAATTCCCTCCAAAGGCCAAGCAAAGGTATGCATCAAATCTGGGATGCCTGCAAATGGCTGTATCATCCTATGATGGAATATGCAAATTGTTTACAGGGAAAGCCAGAGGAGGAGTGCCTGAGAAAAACCAGGGGGCAAGATGGTGCTTGACATGGTGCAGGCCTCAGGGCCCAAATGTCACCCTTGCGATAATTTAGTTCACATCGCACGCCTGGGTCACAGAACTTCTCAGAAGAAAAGTCACAATGATTGGAACAGTTACAAAAAAACAATGGACAGAGCTTCCCCCTTAATCTTCTAACTGTGAAGAAAAGGCAGTTCATTCCTTCCGACTTTGTGTTCACAGGCAACCACTGCCCTGGTTATCCTCATACAAAAAACAGGCGGAAATGTTCATCTCTCATGGCACGTCTTACACAGGAGATGCAAAGATTCAGTGGCCGTGAGGCACGTTAAGCCAGATATAATACTGATTACAATGCACCAAAGGAGGGAGTAGATAACTTGGACAAGGCTCCTGTCCCTGCTACAGCTGCAAAGAAAGAGGACCTTGAGGG